TGCTGCTGCTGCTGCTGCTGCTGCTGCTGCTGCTGAGAGGCCCCCGGTAGGGGCCCCGCAGGTGTGGTGGTGTTGATCGTTTGTGTGTGCATATGATAGGAAAAGTAAATATATTTTTGTAAAAATTAATTGTTTTATTGAGGAGAAATACTTTTAGTTTTACTTTTTATAATTTTTTATTTCTAAATTTCAATACACAAGAATATTCAACTCCGTCTCGATGCAGCGTGTGCTGAGAGCACCAGTGCGGTAGAGTGAGAGGGGGAGGCGCAGCAGGAGAATCTGCACTAAATATCTCTTCATCTATGTAATTATGTTTAAAAAAGCAAAATTTATGGTGAAAGTTTATTAAAATTAATTAAAATTACTTTTTTTTCTGCGTTCATTGCTTCGTGCAAGAAGGCTTGGGGTGTATGTGCAGCCGGCGCGTGCCACTGGTCGCCGCCACCACCGCCACGAAACTAGTGCAGAATCATCGAGGAAAGCTGCGGTAAACTTGTTTAATTTTGGTTTATTTCTTTTATATTTTGTATATTCCTTCAGAATAAGTTAAATAAAACATAAAAAACAAGAGGGTTCCTGCTGTGGAGCCGCTGCATCTGGCGCCTCTGTTGCACCGCACGGAGCACCACGCATACCGACGGTGATTTTTGTTTTTGTTTTTCTTCTTTTTTCATTGTTCTTTCATTGCATTTAAACTCGAAACTCAACATATTCCACCATTTTAAACCCTATTTCCCTCGTATTGCCGCCGGGACATCTGCAGCATCTCACCCTCCTACCCAGCTTCTTTATCTTCATGGATAACACCAGAGATACAAGAGCCGCTGCCGGCAGCAACGAGGGGTACGACGGCCTGAAGTGTACCCCGGAGCAGCAGGGGCCCCTAGAGGGGCCCCTCGGTGCTGCTGCTGCTGCTGCTGCTGCTGCTTCTTCGTGCTGCTCCTCCAGCCCTACAGTGCAAGACCCTTTTGCTGCTGCTGCTTACAACAGCAGCACAGAAAGAAGCAGCAGTCTGATCGAGGATTTGGGTTCACGCCTAGAAGACTATGAATACGCTGCCAGCAACCCCACGGGGAGCAGCAACAACAGCAGCAATACCCCCAGCAGCAGCAGCAGCAGCAGCAGCAGCAGCAGCAGCAACAGCAGTGACAGTTCGTCTTCGGGGGTGCGCATGCACCGCAGCTGCAGCAGCAAAACAGATGAGTCTGTCAGTGAAGCAGAGCTAGAAAGCCCCACAACAGCAGCAGCATCTCCTGCTGCTGCTCCTCTCCGTCAGCTAGCTCACCCCTCAGATGCATCGACTGCTGCAGCAGAACCAACAGCAGCAGCAGCAGCAGCAGCAGCAGAAGAAGAAGAAGAAGAAGCAGCAGCATGGGGGCCCCCCCATGTGTCTCCCCCTGAAGGAAATGATGTTTATAAAACTATAAAACAAATAGAGAGAGAAGGGGGGCCCCCGTTCTGCCCCGGCCCCCGGCATTCTTATCTCCATGCAGCTGTAGATACACCCCATCAAGGGGCCCCCAGACAAGAGGAGGAGGGGGCCCCCCCCAAAGAGAAGGAAGGGGGGCCCCCCAAGGAGGAAGGGGGGCCCCCCGAGGAGGAAGGGGCCCTCCCCAAAGAGAAGGAAGGGGGGCCCCCCAAGGAGGAGGGGGGGCCCCCAGAGGAGGCCCCTGAGGGGGCCCCCGGGGGGGCCCCCAAGGAGGAAGGGGGGCCCCCAGAGGGGGCCCCCGAGGGGGCCCCCTGGGGGACCCCCGGTAGCTGGCAGCAGAGCGATGGTGTTGTCTCTGTTTGTTCTTCGTCTGAGGCGAGTGGAGCGCAGACACCGCAGCAGGACAGCAGCAGCAGCAGCAGCAGCAGCAGCAGCAGCAGCAGCAGCAGCAGCAGCA